ATGGTCTTATCGGGTAAAGTTGGAAACTTTATCCTTCTAGACCTTGTTTCAGATCAGATCTGAAAATTGGAGCCTTTGGGATCGATGAAAGCAGCTTAATCTATTAAGCCGCTGAAAACCCAGTGGCCACATCGTGGGTCAGTTCGCCACGACGTGGCGATGGGGAAATCACGTCTGATTGTTACTGGAGGGTCGCGGCATGGCCATAGGTGGCCACGACGTGGCGGTTGACCAAAAGTCAACGTTAACCATTGACTTTGACCATTGACCTTTGACTTACGTGGACTTTTAGTCAAGCACCTACTTTGGAGGAATAACTCAAGTCTTATTTGGTTTGACTGATTAGGTGGTTCATAGTGGCGGTATTATGTCATTGAGAGCTGTAGCAGTTGAACATTTTCTGTGAGGTGAGTATTCTCACCATACTAGTGGGTTGAAGGCACCAATACCGGCCCAATGATTCATATGTGTAGGATGTACATGATTATGTGACTATTATTGTTATGATTGTATGATATATGCATTGAGCCGATTTGGGATCAGAGTCATTATGGAATCGGGGTTGATACAGACCCGATGGTTGATACGAACCCTACACAGCTACTTGCAGTTATATGGGGTTGATACGGACCCAAAACAACTCTATGCTATTATATTTATATGTATGTTGTATGTGGTATTTTGGGGAAACTCACTAAGCTTTGTGCTTACAATTATATTTATGGTTTCAGATACTTCTGGTACGAAAGGGAAGGGCCCGACGTGATGACACATCATTCCCCCCTCCCCCTCATGATTTCGCGATTATGATTTCTTTCACTCTAATGTTTTGGATAGTTTGTATCTTGGATATTTTCCAGACATATGATGTATGAGATTGATGGATTTGAAAATGAAAAAAATTATCACTGTTTTTTTGGGACGTTACACATTAAAAATCTCACAATAAGTGTTTCAGATTTTGGACAAACATTACGTTGATACGAATCAACTTTCATAATATTTGAGTATTTATTTCATAAATTTTTGAATATTTAACATGATTTCAAATGTGTAATAAGTACTTTTGAGTATAGATAAAAAGAATGGTTGAAAAATTATGTTTAAGATAAATGAATGCATTCCATACAAAATTTTGAATTAGGTTCCTTTAGTAGAGTAAATTACATGAATGGTCCTTACGGTTTGGGATAATTTGCACGTTCGGTCCCTAACTTATTTTTTTAACTCGGAAGGTCCCTACAGTTTGTTTTTGTTGCGCGTCTGGTCCCTGTCTTACATAAAAAGACTATTTTGCCATTGATTTTTTAATTTATTTAAATAAGGTATGGTAGGTAAGGTAAAGTAAGGTGAGATGGAAATGTGGTTGGAGCCGTATGTTTATTTTTATAATTTAAAAAAATCAAAGGTAAAATAGTCTTTTTAGATAAGACAGAGACCAAACGCGCAACAAAAACAAACAGTAGGGACCTTCCGAGTTAAAAAAATAAGTTCGGATCAAACGAGCAAATTACCCCAAACCATAGAGACCATTCGTGTAATTTACTCTTTTTATTATTGTGACACATCTTATATTTTTCAAAAATATGTTTTTTTTATTCTTCTAAATGTTCTTCTTGGTTGATTATTTGTTTTTACAATAAGTTATCTTGTATTGAAGATTTTTTTCTTCAAAAAATTAGATGTGTTATATCGGAGAGGTTAAGAGGTTCGATGACTTATTATGCTTTTATTTATCACCATATAAATTTTTTGACCCATGGATGGGTGTCCCCAAAAACGTATTAGGAGACACTACTTGTCCATGTTGTGCTCTTTCATCATATTCGGCTAGAACATTTCACTATTGGGTAATAAAGGTAAATCATAAACCTAACATTTGAAAACATATATTAAATATAGATAAAGTATAATAAAAACTCGAATACTACATTTGAAAGTATTTTTCTGTTCGGACTCATAATAATCATCTAAAACCACATGAACTTGTTATTTTTTTTACTCTAAGGAAATTTACTCAAGAGTATAGAAATTCTATAGTAGGCTAACACTATCCATTTCTTGAGTGTTAAATAACTTATAATAGAAATTCTAGACTATATATCATCAGGTTAAATTGGAAATCACGCTCCACAATTCAACAATTATAATAAATTATAAAGATAGTGGTTACATTTTTAGTCATAGTAGTCTTAAGGAATGATGCATTCACCTAATGCTCCCTCACTTTATGATTAATCAAAATGATCAAATGGTTGAAGTTTATACCAAATAATTGTTGAATTTCAAGGTTTAATTACATCATGTCATGTCACTTGATTATGATTATTCATAAATATTTGGACTTCATTAATTTTCATAGCTATGAATGTAAGAATTATTATTATTTTTATTTTTTAAGCATGCACATTAAAAGAGTTTTTCACAAAGCTTTTTAGTGTTTTTTTTGGTATCATATTATCACCACATTATCAGTCTAAAACTTTACAAACACTTATTATATGTGAGAACTTTTTCATATCATCACCACAGTCTAAAACTTTACAAACACTTATTATATATCAGAGTTTTTTCATATAGTTTTTTTATAGCCCGACAATAACAATCATATAAGTAGTATAATAGATAAATAAATAAAGGGGAAATGATACAAATGTCCTACGAACTTTTTAGGGTTTACCCGTTGAGTCCCTAAACTTTTTGTCGGGCTTTATGGGTCCCTAAACTAGGATATGACCTGCTCTTTTAGTCTCTGTCAATCTGTAATAGCCGGTTCAGTGACATTTTAGACCAAAAAAACTCACATTGTGCCTCTATAAAACCAAAAAAATAAGTTCGGGTATCGATTCGTACCAAAAAACTCGCATTCTTTTCTTCTAAAGTCGATTCACACTCAATTCGTACCCTCCCAAGAAATCGATCGTTTCTCTTCTTTCCGTCTTCACCGTCGATCGTCACACACACTCACCGAAGATCACAACCCTTTTCCCCTTCTAATCGATTCTCGATCACAACCCCCTTCCACTATTTTCTTTGATTCGATTTCATCTCTTCAAGGAATTGACCCCCTCCTTCCTTCTTCTCTGTTTAAAATTGCACAACCTGCCTCTCTTTCTCCCTCCGAGTTGCAGGTTTGATGTATGCGATGTTGAGAAGGATGTGTGGGTTTGATGAGGTTCACAGAGGAAACCAGAGTTAATCTCTTTTTTTCTTCAATTTGCAGGAGATTGGTTATGGTGGTTGACTGGTGGTTTTTGTGGGTTATGGGTGCTCCAATGGTGGCTTATTTCACGAGACAAATGGGAGGAATAAGGGTGTTTGGATTGGGTTGTTGTGATATTGATTCGATGGTGATTAATGTGGGTTATGGTGGCTGTAATGGCTGAATAAAATGTTGATGAACAGTTGGTCAAGGAGGGTACGAATTGAGTGTGAATCGGCTTTAGAAGAAAAGAATAGTTTTTTTATACGAATTGATCCTCAAACTTATTTTTTTTGGCTTTATAGGGGCACAAAGTGAGTTTTTTTGGTCTAAAAGGCCACTGAACCGGCTATTACAGGTTGACAGGGACTAAAAGAGCATGTCATATCTTAGTTTAGGGACCCATAAAGTCCGACAAAAACTTTAAGTACTCAACGGGTAAACCCTAGAAAGTTCGTAGGGCATTTGTGTCATTTTCCCATAAATAAAATACTTATTATATGAGAGCTCTTTCACATAGTTTTAAATAAATAAAATAATAATGAAAAAACTCTTACCATAAAGCTTGTTATTTAACACGTTCTGTGAAAATATCCAATAGTTTTTTCACTGAAAAAGTTCATATATATGATCTACGTTGGTATCATCTCGATCATAAGGTAGAACTCCATGCATCTAGAGATAGAAATGAACCCCACATATGTCGCACTTGTTCTTAATTAGTGCAAGTATGGGTTTTTATTAATTATAGACTTACATTCTGATGAACCTTGTACACATAATTACACCTGTCCAGTTAAACCTAGGAGATAAACATCAAATCTTGAACCTAATCCTTGTAAAGTTGTCATCAAAAACTATTTAGGTCAAAAGAAACTTTCATGATTTTCTCCGGTGTGGACTTGTTAGAAGCCTCTCTCTTGAAAAATGTTAAGCATACTAAAGAAAAACATGTTGTGAAGTTGAAATACTGCAATTATATTATTGTATTTGTTGACTTTGGAGAGAGGCAAAATAATAACAAATAAATCTTGACCCGATGCGTTGTCAAAGGCAGCGTCGTAAATTCACCACTAGAATATTAGGCAACAGCGATGGATGAGTTCCGTCGCTACTTTCGAAGAATCAGAGACCAATTAAATTACGATTGACGATGCTTATTAATTATATTACCGAAGGATTATATCCGTCTGATTAAAGATATAATTAATTAATAAGTTTCCAGACACAACAACAACATATTAACCTTTCGTCTTGGATATATAGGTCTGATTAGAGATATAATTAATTAATAAGTTTCCAGACACAACAACAGATTAATCTTTCGGCTTGGATATATAGGCTAAAAGTTAATTAATGAGATCATATAAAAACTATATAAGATGGGGATTTCTATATTGAACGCCTGTCTAATAGCTAGCATTAATTACCATGATATATATGAATAAACTCATCATTATTTGCGATGTTATTTGAAAGGATAAATAAAGAAAACTTAGGATGAATTCCCAAGTTCAGGTTTACCTATAGGAAGTATCCAAAATGCATTTTGGTCAACTTCAAGGTAACCATGCACACAGCACACTCTCCACTTCTGTCTTACAGATTATATATAGTAGCACAATATTAAGGCTTTCATCTGGAAACCTCGTAAAACTTATGGAACATACTATATCTCATTTTGTCTCTCTCTCCTGCATGCGATCCATACTAGAGCACATAAAGTGGATAAGAAGAATCTTCTACATATACATATGCTCCCAAGTATACATATTATAAGAGAAGGAATTGAAGTAGTCTAGGTTGAAGGGATGGAAATCCGCCACACTTTGATGTCACGATCCAGACCACCACTGTAGATGAAATAAGAAGATGTATGATCAGATGGATCATCATCATATTCCTGATTCCTTTCCATTGTCAAGCACTTCACAGGGCCTCTGTGTCCCTCCAATACCGCTAAGCAAATGTAGAATCTGCCAATACCTCTCCAAATTCTTATGCTTTCATCTGCTGAGCCACTACACACCAAATCCGATATAACAGTCAAGCACAAGATAGACTTCGTGTGCCCCCTTAAAGCAGCCACGGCCACTGTGTTTCCATCATCAATATTCTTCTCCCAAACCATTATAGATCGATCACTGGAACCAGAGTATAGCATATTCTCATCAATGTTTAGTGCTAGGGCATTTACCCCAGATTTATGTTTCTCCAATATAGCAACCAGTGTATGATTCTCGCCTTCTGATGCCTTCCTCCAAACCTTGATTTTCTTGTCAGCTGATCCAGTATACACATCTCCATTGCTAGACAATGCTAGTGCATTAATTGCATCATCATGTGCATTAGCTACCGACTCTAAACATTTGAAATCAGATGTCCGCCAAATCTTTAGTGTTCTATCCCATGAGACCGAGTATAAAAGCAATCCATCATTGGATAAGGCTAGTGCTGATACGGTATCAAGATGATGTACCCACGTGGATTTCTTGTGGCGTCTCACCTGTACATGGTTCTTTGGTGTTAGAAGTTTAAGGGCTCGATCGCCAAGTGTAGGGAGTGTAGCCAAGTGTGTCAGCTTATACTGTTGTGTTTCATGACCACTGATTTTCCACACACGGATTTTATGATCTTGATGGGCACTGAATAATTTATCACCTGAAATCACCATCGACTTTACTGCACCATTTCCCTTGATTACCATGTTATCAGCTAGATATTCTTGATCCATATGAGAGCTTAACCCGTTGCGATTCCATAGTTGAATTTCTTTGTCTGAAGAACCTGTGTATAGAAACTGTCCCCCAATGACCATAGAGGAGATGTAGGAATTGTGACCTTGACCGATTGTAGCGATGCAGTGGTGGCATGCGATGGGTAGGTGATGAAGTACTGTATGATGGGATTCAGATGTGAAGGTGTCAATTTTCTCGGTGGAGAAGATGCTTAAGTCATGGTGAAGGTAAGCCCTAGAGCCATTTTGGGAGTTATTAGAAGTAAGATGTGACATCTTGCAGTATAATTAAAGTGAAACGTAGAAGCATGAAAGCAATTAAAAATGTTCTGAGCAAAAGGGTTGTATAGGATATTATTCAAGTGAAAAGTAATTATACCATTCAAACTTTTCCAACATGTGTTGCATATATAGACCCCAAGATGGACCTTGACATTGGTGCTGGATCAGCATTATCCACTAAAGTTTGCGCCTTTCTTCATCTTTCTAATGTGTAAAGTGGAAACATATTTAGTATAATCCACAACCTCCCTTTGCCTTGGTAAAGGCTAGACATGTATATATTTATTGGATATTTTATGTCCCTCTAAAGGATTTCATCTGATTTTATTTACTTTTTGTGAAACTTGCCATTTCTGGTATTTCAAGTTACTTTTTTGATCTGTCTCATAGTGCAGGCTAATCTAGAGATGGCACATAGTGTTGGCCGTACAAATCTTCCCTTTTCAGGGTATTAGGAAACTTCCATGGCCGCCTAATTAACTAGTTATATATGGAGCTCCTTTAATTCAAGTTACATTTTACGTCATGATTTCTGTTGATGAGTACCCAATATGTATGGTGATTCTTTATGGACTATATCATGAAGAAAAGTTTATTCACTAACCTGTTGGATGTCCTGATTTTGGAACTTACATATATACATGATCTAAAACAAGATTAGTGTTCCCATATACACTGTTTAAATTGCGAGAAAACCCTTCACCAAATTTCACAGAAAATTTGAGGGTCTGAATGGTATTATTCAGCTGGCATGTCCTTAAGGTGGTAATACGTTATACGTACATTGGTTACAAGCAATCAAGTCCCTCTATTCCTTGGAAAAGATATTAGTCATGATCATGTCGGTTGCTCAAAGAAGATTAGAAGAATACTCAAGTCCATTCTACAATAACTAGTTTTCCATATTGGAAGGACTAATTAGGAGCCTTTCTTTTGTGGCAGACTCTGTTAATTAATGCACATACAGATGAAACAAATTTTGATTTCTTCCAGGTTTCTTTGATGATAGTAATTATCCTAAACAACTCAGTTGAGATTGCTATAGCAGCTATATATGCTTTTCTAAAATGAAAAGCCAGACATTAATTGCAAACGATCCTGACATGTTTGATGTAGTGATCAAGTAGCTTCATACTTCCTCAAATAGACAGATAGACATGCTCCTAATTTCTCCACTAGCGAAACAGTAAACTACACCAATTAAATCAACAAGAAGTGACTGACACACCGTTATGGGAATAATTATTGGCATCACTACGTACTAGTGCTAATCCATCTTTTTTCTATATTGGGGAACGCCTGTGAAAGCAACTTCATTCAAACAGAAACAACTGCTTCTTGTTGACGGGAGAAATTATTCTTTTTGTAATTGTACTTAATTAATTTTTGGGCTAAGGAGAACGGAAAAGAAGAGAAAAATAGTTTCTTAGTAATGCGTACTAGTTCTTTAGGGGTTCACAGTTACAACTGCTTCTTGTTGACGGGAGAAATTATTCTTTTTGTAATTGTACTTAATTAATTTTTGGGCTAAGGAGAACGGAAAAGAAGAGAAAAATAGTTTCTTAGTAATGCGTACCCAGCAATGTTGGATCGAATTGTGGGTGTGTAGTCAGCACAAACTCACCAGACACACTCTCTTTTTCCAAAAGTGGTGCTGGATCGTGTTCGCAGGTAAAACCTTTAACGGCGACGTGTCGCCACGGTTAACTCGCCACTAATATTGCTTCAAAGGTCGTCGTTATTGCTCTCCGTCACCGTTAATACCATGCGTTGCCGCTAAAGGACTATCACAACTAATACACGTGCGTCGCCACTAATCGTATTTTCCATTTTTTAGTATTTAACATTAAAATTAGAAAAAACAGTATAAAAAGTATAAAAACTGCTACCAAACATTATTTGCAGAAAGATAGTTTGAAACATTAAAATTTAATAATATATGCGGCATCTGATCCGAAATATTAATCCAAACATCCGGTCCAAAACATTTATCCAAACATAGTGTAAGAAATCCAAAATACTAGTTTCAAATACTAACCCAAACAAAACATTACATAAATCCTAAAACTAGCTACTCGTCATCATCGCTCCCCTTGTCCTCGTTTCCTCCGGTATCATTTTGTGATGACAACGATCGAAACCATTCTTTAAGAGCCGCACTAAATGTCAGGTCTTTTAACATTGTTTGAAGCATGTCGAACTACAAAGAAAACAACATAGTCTTATAAGTTAAATCAACAACTTACGAAATATAAGCAAAGTACAAAATATATTACCAACATATCATTATAGCATTGTACTTAACAAATTAAGGCCATGATGATTATAACATCTTACTTTTTTTTTCATTTTTCTATTATAACATTGTACTTTTGAAATACACTTAAACATACATCCTACACATATTGCATATACATTATAACGTTGTACTTTTTTTTTCATTTTTCCATAATTATAGCATTGTACTATAACTAAATTTGCGAAAATATAAGGAAAGTACAAAATATATTACCAACATATCATTATAGCATTCTACTTTACAAATTAAGGTCATGATGATTATAGCATCCTACTTTTTTTTTTCATTTTTCCCTTATATAATTGTACTTTTAAATACACTTAAACATACATCCTACACATATTGCATATATATTATATCATTGTACTACCAACTAACAATTACCAACATATTAAAGTATTACAAAACTAGCAATTACCAACATATCAAACTATAACCAAACTAACAATTACCAAAACATAACCAAACTAACAATTACCAAACTATAAAAAACTCTCATATTAAATTATAACCAAAATATATATGAGATTTTGAAGTTAAATAGTCTACCTATGCTTGTGGTGGTGGTTGTGTTAGTGGTTGTTCATGATCGTACATCGACACATCCGTAGAAGGTTTACGCCAAATGCCTCTGATATGGCCGCGTCGAACACCCAAAATTCTGTCAAAACAATTTCTTATGTCCCATGTTGTTAGACCATTTGCTTCAGAATAAACTTGAGTTTATTGATTTATATCTTGGAGTAAAACATTATGTATTTTCGCAAAATAATTAACGTCACAATATATATATATATATATATATATATATATATATATATATATATATATATATATATAAACACTTATATGAAAATCTAAATTAACCACTAACATATTGTTGCTCGACTATAAGACTACTAAATACCCCTTGGCGATCGGTATTAGCCTTACGAAATGCTTCGAGTCTAGTGATGTCCTATTTAACATTAAAAATTAGATTAATTATATTTTAAATAAATCGTTAAATATATCGTAACTTACTTCTTTGAAACAAACACTGCTATACGAGCATGATCCCCTTCCGTTTACATTTTTTTTGTTATGCACAGACTCCTTTGTTTGCCGTCGAACGCTTTATAAATCCGGGCGTTTGAAAATGTTTAATTGCCTGCGCCCAATTTTCACGTGACATACCCTCCAGTGGAGGGGGGTTGGCTAATGCCCTTGGGATATCTGCAAGCCCTCTGACACTCTAAAAATAACTATGCGTTTACTTTTCCAGTCTCTATAAAGTTTTTGTAAAGACGCATCAATGCTCTACAACAAATGAGCATGCTGGGCATCCAAGTTAACCTTATCCAAATTAAAATGTCTCTACAAATACAAAAAAATGGCTAGTTAATTAAATACCAATCATAAATAAACTTAAAATATTATCATATAAATAATTTACCTTAAGATGCACGACTGTGACATTCTTTAAAGCGAAGGAAACATTGTCCCCACCAGATACGCTAAAAAGGATGTTTTACCACATATATTGATCAATATCATAGGTAAACAAATTTCCATGTTTTTCGATAGGGGAAATGCGAGCTCTTTGTCAAAATCCAAATCAACAGGCTTTCCATTGTTTGCTCGTATCAACTTTGAGAGTTGGATGTTATTAGATAATCTTTTTTTGGTAGCTCTGCTAGAAAATATAATTAAAAATATTAGTCATGATAGTTTATAACAAATGAATAAAAATAGCTAATAAATATATCATAATAAGACTTATCATCATCTTCGTGATGTCCACGACCAAAGCCTACTGGAGGTGGTGGATGCCCGACTTTATCACCCCATGTCCTAAGCCCATCACATCGGCCATCATGTAAAAGAGTATCACCCAACTAAACCCCATATAGAACTTATAAAATTATAAGATGTACAATATATAAATACAATATGAATAAAAGTTAGCCTACATCATACTTTTTTTTTTCATTATAGCATTGTACTTTCCAAATAAGCCCTTAAAAGTTAAGTGATGTTCCAATCAATACATACATACATATACATATAAATACACTTAAACATAAAACCTACACATATTGCATATACATTATAGCATTGTACTTTTTTTTTTTTCATTTTTCCATTATAGCATTGTACTTTCCATATAAGCCCTTAAAAGTTAAGTGATGTTCCAATCAATACATAGATACATATACATACAAATACATTTAAACATACATCCTTTTTTTCATATATATTATAACATCCTACTTTTTTTTTTCATTTTTCCATTATAGCATTGTACTATTTCATATACATACATCATACAGATAATCCATACAATTTTTCTGTTGTCAGTGTAAACATATACATTTATACATACATATATACACACATTACATATATTTATATATACCTTACATATACATACATTATAACCACATACAAGATCAATATTAAGAACTAGATGAAGATAATTCATGAAATATGTAACACTCATAAAAATACATGAAAATTTAAACTTTTTCAATCAACCAAAAATCATAGTTGTTTACATTGTAGTTTTCAAAACGAGTTTAAACATCAAGAAATCCCAAAATCACGAAACAAAACATGAGGATGTGCACGATCATGCCTTCGCCTTCCCGCGATCCTCTAAGGTACCTGAAACATAATCCAAAACTGTAAGCCCAAAGCTTAGTGAGTTTCCCCA